TTGCTGGTGGATTTATAATAAATCCACCCAACCTCATGCAACAATGTTCGATCGAGTCATTGTTGCCTGCTTCTCAAATTGCCGTTAATCAGTTTTTTTTTGGTGATTATCTGAAATGAAAAGATATGTTATAATTAATAAATTTATTTCTAATTATTCTAATTTTTTTTTTTAAATAGTTTCTTTCGTCATAAAAAGACACGCCATTATCGGCAAGAAAAAATTAACCTTAATTATATATAATTTGTTAATCGAATAAGATATATAATAGGGGTATTCAGGCTACTGATTAGTTGCTTAGTTGATTCAAAAACTTCATATAAAAAAAATTTAGCATTTTGATGTTAATCAGTTGCTTGAACGACCCAAAATGCGTAATCTGATTAGTTTGTTGTGTGTAAATGCCTTGGCAGCACTCGCATCAACAGCAAAAGCGAAACATACGTTAACAGTGAAAATCGTTTACACACAATTCAAACAGCTGAGAGAAATAGCTAACAAATTTCTATACAAAAGTTCATTTTAAGTTATTATTACGACACTTGGGGCTGGCAGCACTATTAATCAAATTTGTACTAATCTGAGAATCACCGAAATAGTTGATTCCCTGCTTAGTTTCATTTTTGTGTCCAAATTTTTGTTGTAATCAACTACTAAGCAACTAATCAGTTGCCTGAATACCCCTAATATTGTATATTAATCGTTTTAGAAAAAATTCTAGTTTCTTATTTTGATAATATCTTTGATGCAGCAATCTAAATAAAAATAAACGTTAGCTTCTCTTTTGCAGTACTATGGACTTACCAATAACTCTGCAACTGTACATTATGTTTTTCAGTGCCATTTTAATTTTTCAGCGAATTTAATTTAAGATGGTATGCCATCTATTAACCAACTTTGTACAGAATTTTTGAATAATTAATATAATTAAACTAATTTCGATTTTTTTCAAATAATTGTGCTTATTAGGGTATTGCATTGAAAGTTAATTATATATTAACTGTTTTCTGACTTCTGGGATATGCTTTTTATAAGAAAAATGTCGTTTTTAAAAGAAAATTAATTTCTGAACTTTCACACTCAATAACTTTTAAGTTAATCGACCAATCTATAAATATTGTAACGACACAAATTTACAAAGTAAATTTCTGTGCTACATAAAGCAAGAAGAAGAGAAAAACACAGTCTGTGTGTTAAATAACCGCCACCACTACACATAATATATCTAACAACTCACATGAAAATAACTGAAGGCGACTTAACTGGAAAATATAAAATTGAATTAAAATATTTGTTTGAAATATCGTGGACATTACCTGTGATCCTCGATGCCAATGGACCGCGGGCATCGCTACATGCAATGTGCAAATTCTAAAAATATACGATATAAACTTTTATGAATGGAACACTTATAAACGCAACAACAATGAACAATTATTGGCGAAACATGTTTAAATTTTAAACAAATGTCTGTTTTTTTACAATTATATATAAATAAAACAAAACACAAAACAATTTAACACTCGTGGTTGTTCAATTTTAGTTTTATATGCGTAAACGAAAAACACAAAACAGTTTAACACTTTTGGCTGTCCAATTTTATTTTTATATGCGTAAACAACAAAAAAAACTAAGCACGCCAACATCAATTTTATTTCTTTTAATATTTCTTTTCTTTTCACATTTAAGTTGGTAAAAATATTAAAATCACAAAATATATATTATACCTCGTTTTAATTATTATTAAATTACTATTATATATATTATTTAAATAATAAAAGAACCACACACAAAACACGGCACGTTGTAAAAAAAGTACTAAAAATCACGGCGAAGCAGAAGAAGTGGAAAAACAGTAGAACACAAAGTTCAACTTCACGGCGAAGTCAAGTACAGCAAAGAATACCGGTACGCTACACCAAAAAGCTTCGGTATGCTCGATATAAAAGGAGGCGCATTTCGTATAATAGGGGACTTGGTTTGCGACAAGTGAAAGAGCAAGTACTCTGGCTCATTGGGCCTTCTGGTAAATTTTACCAAAACTTGAAATTTTACTTTTCCTGGAACAAGTACACTGGCCTATTGGTCATCTGGCACATTGTGCCACAAATCTGGTTCTTTGAGTCAAAAGTAGTGTAAAATTCCTTTCCTGTCTTATATGTATTTTTTTTTAACCTGGCTTATTCGGTCAAATAGTTTTTTACAGCACGGAGGAAACGTTTTGTTTATTTTTTT